ATTAAAAATAATGAATAAAGTAATTACTCCAAAATGTGTTTCTTTCACTCTGCCTCTGGATAACTGCATACATAAAAAAATAAATGAATGAAAAAAAAAATAAAAATAAATAAAAACATAATGTACCAACAAAGATTAATATTTAAAATCTATTTTTGTTATTTTTATTTTTGTTAAAAAAGTTTTTTATTAAGTGTTACCGTCATTGGCGTGGCCCTGACATTGAAGATTCATCTGAAGTTAGTGATTAGTATTATAGAATTTCGAATCGGTAGTCCAACATCTTGGGGTGGGCACAAGACCGTCCTGGAGTGGGCACGGCCCACTCGCCCCCCCCCCCCCCCCTATATACACCTATGTTTACCGTTCAAGATAACAAGCTAGTAATTGTTTTTTTTATTATGTTTTTTTACCATTTTCTTTTATTAACGTTCTCGTTAAAGATAAACATTAAATAGTTCTCAGGAGGTTGTATTGTTACTAAGTCCGAAGGCACCAATATCTGCAATACTTTTTTTTTAAACTATTGCAGATAACAACGCTCTAACCTAATGCCTATTGTTAATACTTACAACACTGCTAAAATAATGTTAATACTAAAATGTATAACAATTTAAAAAATAAAACTTTTTTTTATTATTTATTATATAACTCTGTTTCGACAACGTATCAGCGCAAGCGCCATAGTAGACATTATTGTATTCAAGTAGACCTTTCAAATGATATGTAACACATCTCTATTGGAACGGATACCAAGTTCCATACATTTTTGCCCATCATCCTTTATTTGTTTTAATTGATTTAATTTTTAATTTATTCTAATTGAGTTGATCTATTGTATTTTTTTTTAATCTTGTGATGTTATTTAATTGCTTTTTATTTATTATAATTATTAATTTTTATTATTACTTTGTCTTTGTCATGCGATGATCTTTGTGGTCAAAATAAATGAATTATTATTATAGTCCGGTCCGGTAAAAGACATAAAAATTGTGGTAGATTTTCAAAACAGACAACTGATAACTGGTACTTAATGGTATTCAATACCTACAGTATACCTACACTCTCCGAGCGCATCTCCATGTATACAAAAAACAGCCAAAGTAGTACTCACCAAACTGAATGGACTCAGTGACGTCTAAACGGCTGGAGCGATTTTAATAAAATTTGGTATGAAGTTAGCTGACACTCTGGATTAACACATAGGATACGTTTTACTGCGAGAAAATATCCTCAATAAACGCCGGGTAACACCGCGGGGCACAACTAGTAAAAATATAAAAATAGTGACTATACTTTTCTATGAAGACTGGTGCATGAACTAAGGTTTGAACCCGTTTTACAAGTCACCAGGCCCCCACAGCCCGACCGAATTTTGTATTGTTTATACTTAATTTCTTGCTACACCATCATTTGTATATATTTTTTTACTTTAGTTTAATTCATATCAGTAGGTAAGTAAACATGTATTGTGTAAGTCTGTTTGTGTGAAGTGAAGTGTGAAGCACTGATAAAAAATGACCTACTTCTTTAAAAAGGTTGGAAAAACAAGCATTGGCCCGCTTAATAGTGTGCGGCCGCCACAGCTCATATATTAATCCTATCATTTGTTTCGTTGTCTACCCCGACTAAGAAATAACATTCCCCAAAAAGTGTGTTATTTTACTATAATCATAGTCAGGTAGAGGTTATTTTTCAAGTCGGGCATTAGGTTTAAGCGGAAAGTCATTAAAGCGCTTCCCCTCTTTTTAAAGGAGATTGCTCAGCTTCCATACATGTTTGGCCTAAAGACCAATAATCATGAAAAATTGTTTCCTAGATTCGAAATTATATATAAATTACTGTAGAAACGAACACCCCTGAGAACTTCTTTAAACCATATTACACTGAACATATTAAAATAATAAAAAACAAATAAGTTATATAGTAAACTAGGGAAATCAAGCCAAGTACCGAAATTATGGATTAGATTCAGGTATATAGAGCATGTACATTAACAGATAGTTGCCTATTTTTAAAGTTAATGCATAAGAGTAACTTTTAAAATCAGGTGTCATTTCCGGTTATAATAAAGTACTCTGTGACAGAAACTGTGTGATGATTGTGAATGAGCCACAGATTAGAGAGAATTTTTAAACTCTCGTTAACCAAAGAAAGCTAAGAAAAGAAAGAAAGAAGAGATTTAGGTTCCATAGCCATATATTCACTTCATTATTTTTGTTAGGTTGTTTTTAAGATAACCATATTTAAGATTTTTAGTGTATCACACCTTATAATTTTATTTTTTTATAGTCAGGGAACGTAGGTCCATAGATAGATACCTTAAAGTCTAACATATATACAGATTTTAATGTGTTTATGGAGGTATTTGGCGAAAAATGTATGGCAATAGACTTTATGATGTCGCCTACCATCTTTAATCTGAGCACATTTGCATCTAGTGAAAATTATAATATAGTTAGTGGATAAATACCAGTGTAATAAAAAAAATCGATCTTTACAAAATAGATTTGTTTTTATGGTATATAAACAACTTCGATCAGTCTTTGGCTGAATGTTACTACACCCATAGCCATTAAAAATGATTCGTATGTTTTTCAAACCGGTAAAATTAAAAGTCCTTTTTAAAGTAAATATATTATACAAAGGTGTCCGTTGAAATCTAATGACTGTAAATTAAATTATAAATTACGCCAAGAATTACCGTGTATGTCAATATTTTTTGTGCATTTAGGCCAATTTGAGCAATCTCCTTTGAAAATTGATACATCAAATCAATTCAAAATATTACGAGTATCATAGCAAAAAAATGTACAGCAATATGGAGCGTCTCTTTCTACCAACCTTACAGTCTAAATTTATTCTAAAGAAAATTTTACTAGAAAAAAACCAACTCGGACCAGGCAGCAGACCCGAACCGCACCCTTCGCTATCCGGGCAAATGCACTGACCATTATGCTACCGCGGGCCATGTCAAATTTTCTCTAGCCCTTCTTCTAGTCCCGTCTGCTGCCTGGTCTACGTGGATTTTTTTCTAGTAAAATTTTCTTTAGATTTAAACATCTGACAGAAACATGCTTAAATAATTAAAAATATAATCTTATTCTATCAAAAACAATGAGCGGAATCCTCCAAAAATTAAAAGGATTAGTTTTTAAGGAATTTGTGAAAGTTCCCACATCAAGTCAGTTCAAATTATTATCATAGCAATGATAAATATCTTTAGCAATATGGTGCACCGTTTCTTTTTACCTTACATAATCTTATTCTATTCAATAATGCGTGGAATCTTAAAAAAAGTATACCGATCGTTTTCAAAGGAATTTCTGTTATTATGATCGGTGAATTCTGAACAACATCACTGAAATAACTAGAGAATGCCAATAATAAAATGCTGGGGTGCGATTATACGGAATGTGATAGACGAAGCAAAAGAAGTATGGCATGCCCGTAGAAAATAGAAGGAAATGATAAAAATAGTTATTGAATACCTATTTATAATAAAAAAGGCTGCCTTTTGTTGACATCGTCTTCATATTTTGAATTTACTTGTTCACAGAAAAAATGCTATATTATATTTACCTGAGTTATTCCTTTGTTGTATTATTCGTTCAGATAATAAAAATACTTAGGTAAGTACTTATTTTACTTTAGATAAATATCTAAAGATTTTTTTCTAGTAAAATTTTCTTTAGGTATGAACATCTAGCAGTTAAATACTTAAAATAATAATTTAATAATTTGGATAAACATTTTGCGAAATTCACTTTCAACAAATCAGATAATCTGTGCTGATGCATGAAGCTGTGAATGGGAAGATAACTTTATCGTTCGTCGAAATCTACATAATCATATGCGGTATAGATTAAACCGGTCTTGAAAACCGGTGTACATACCAATGTACACCGGTTTTCAAGACCGGTTTAATCGGTCCGGTTGGGGTAGATGACATCTTAAAAAGAGATGCTCGCTTGGCGCGGGTGGTTAGCGCGCACGATCTGCGATCTTGGTAGTTAAGCACTTTCGTAATGGTCGGTCATTGGATGGGTGATCGAAAACTTTATATCTCGAGCTTCTCCGTACTTCGGCAGACATACTGATCTGCCGGCTGCATCTGCAGTCGTTAGCATCCACCAATCCGCACCGGGCCCGCGTGGTGGATCATAACTCAATCTCCCAATTCCATCCATAGGGAAGGCCCGTGTCATGGCTGTTTATAAGGAAAATTGTTGGGAGACTGGAATAAAACATTTTTTTGTCTTTAAAAGTGCCAATTAAGCGACAATTATAATTTACTATTTTAAGCCCTTCGTCACTGCGAGTTAAATGAAGTCCTTAATAGGTTCGTAGTGACATGTTACCAACCTACCATTACGAAAAAGTTTTAAATCAATCGGCAGGCTATTTAAATATTTATCTAACTTTCAACCTATTTGCGACCGGTTGGTTTCTATAGAGTAGCGTGACGAAAATAGACGCTCAAAGTACCGCTAAATCCCTTAAAATTTAAACTACGCCACAATCAAAAGTTCTGTTATAATCGCCAGAACTGTTTGGAAGTAACTCCAAATACTCTTAACACGAGCCGATATTGAATTCGAAAAGTTGAATTCGATCTCAATACGCGCCAAATGTCAAGAAGTTTTGTATTGAAATATTAAATTAAATTTAAATTTGAACAGCACCACAACGCATGTAACGAGAATTAAAAATCTTCCATGCAAAACTTCGTGACATTAGACGCGTATCGAGATCGAATTCAACTATTCTAATTTAATATTGGTTCGTGCTAAGGTTATTCTAAGCTAAGATTTAGATTGTGATTTAATTGGAACTCAATAGCATTACGGACTCAAAATGTTATTTATAAGTACGAGTTAGATTAATTTTTTGTTTAAAATTGCTGCAATATAATACAAGAGTGGGCACTATTGCCGTACTGTATTATAATTCTCTCATACATGATTTAAGTTCAAAGATACAAAATGACACACCAAATTCGAATTTTCAACACTTTGTATTTCAAATATTTCATTTAAAAAAATCATAATACTGATCATATGTAGGTAATTCAAATGTTTTTTTATAAATTTATAAATCTTCGGTAAAATTATACAACGAAATAACAAAAAGTGCACAAACAAACAATAAATTACAAATAAAAAACAATTAAATACTTTACCTATCAAAATACGTTATATGAAGCTCGATGAGATTATATTTATATGAATTGACTAATATTTTTTGTATAATATCAAAATCAAGCTCTGGGTAAGGTGATATTAATTAGCGTGATAAGTATGTCAATTAATATATCACAGGTGGGTGGTAAATACAGCGTGATTACACAAAGGAAAAGTAAAAAAAGATGTTCTATATTAAACTTATTTGTAAATATGAAACTTGATATTGCTCTTAAATTACTATTATATCAAATGGAACACTGAATATCATAAGACCATCATGATAATGTTTTTATTACATAAGAAAACAGTCTATTTTATGTAAGTTACAAACATTATGTATTTAATTGATTTGCAGTTTGATATGCATTACATATATATTTTTAATAGTATATTGTGCAATTAAATTATACTCTTACAAATAGCGCTGTAAAGTTTAACAATTTAAAGTTAAAAAAAATATTTAAAGTAGTTAAAAAAAATGTACTCATTATGTTGTATTAAACCACAAGAAAATTTATAAAAATAATTTCTAGGTATAAAACAATATCAGACCTAGGGTCAGGGTCTGACTTTTTTCTATACCTATTTGTAATTATGAAACCTGTGGCTTTTTTTCGGATGCCACATGAGGCAATTATTTTATATCGACGCTTACATCCAGTAAATACAGATACACAATGAAATTTTCTAAAATTTAATTAATTAATTTACATGTGAGTGAACATAGCACATCATATTGCAGCAAATCGAAAACAAATGTGAGTTTTTTTCTTTTCGCTAAGTTCTGTAGTTCCTTATACTTTTTAGAGATAGTTCTGGCATTTCTAACTTCCCGTAGCATATCAATTTGCAGCAAATCAAAAACAATTAATGTTACTTCTTTTCACATGCAGCAAAATAAACGAAAACAAATGTGAATGAATATAAAATAACTCAATAGTTTTCGATTTGCCGCAAAATGATATGCTACGGGAAGTCAGCAGACCATTTTGTTGATTGTCATTTTTCGCGTAAAAACGCCAGAACTATTTCTATAAAGTATCAGGAACTATAAAACTCAGCTGCATGCGAAAAGTACTAACATTTGTTTTCGATTATTTTGCAAAATGATATGCTACGGGAAGTTAGCAGACCATTTTGTTAATTGTCATTTTTCGCGTAAAAGCGCCAGAACTATATCCAAAAAAGTATCAGCAACTGTAGAACTCTGCTGCATGCGAAAAGAACTCACATTTAATTTTGATCTGCTGGGAAATGATATGCTAAGTTCATTCATATTTAATTTTACCTTGCTAAGTTCTTTAGCATTATTACTTTATACAAAACCCAAATTTTAATTTTAATACAAAAACTACTTTATATTTTTTTCTAAAGTCGCCTATCCACTTATTATAAGCTCGGCAGCTCACACCAGAATAATTTGTTTGGTATTTCATCGTGTTAGATCAAAGTCACAATAAGTTGAACAAACTTTTGACGCTTTCGGTTCTGGGAATCCATTCTCATGTTATCGATATCATCGAGAACTTTGATTGGTGAATGTGAATGTTTAACCCACAGGGAACAAAGTGTGACTAGAATACTTTGATTTCAGGTGAAAATCTTTAAAGTATACAAGTATTCTTTGGCTATAATAATTTTTATGGTAGGATATTTTTTTAAACAGAATAATGCTAAAATATTTTTGTGATCAAAGATGTTTTATTAAGGAAATGTGTTAAGTGAACTCATTTAAGGTGTTACATTAATATTTATGCATACAAATAAAACCATTGTCGTCATAAGCCATATTATTCGGTTATTTATTAATTTACGTAACGAATAATCTACCGCAAAATACCGTGTCCCCATTTGAAATAATAGTGGTAATGTTTCAGCTTCCACAATCATTCGATTTAATAAAACAGCCCATCGCTGAACCTATCAGCACAGTGTTCCAAAAACGGGTCCTTTTACAACACCCACTAAAACTTTTTTATGGCTAGCAACACTCGTAAAAGGTATAAATAAAATATAGCAAGCGGCAACACTGAGGGGTATCGTAATAATTTCCACGTTTTTGGCGATTCTAGTGCTCGACTCCTTTCGATTATAATTTATGACTTAGTATGGGGTCTGGTAGATATCCGGCCTGTGTGGTACAGCTGAGTGTGTTGTACAGTAACTTGGCTCCCATGTCATGAAGAAAAGTTCACGTTAGGAAGTTCTAAAAATTATTCAAGTGAACTGTTCAGAGCCGGTTTAAAGTTCGTAATGATACCGAGAGAAAGAAAGCACTTTGATTTTTGAAATACCTAAATAATTATTATGATGATCCATATTTTGAGAATCTATTAAACCTACTTAGGTATATAAGGTACACATAAGCAAAAGTAGTGAGATCACATTTTATAAAAGTCTTCTCGAGATCCTGTTGATCTAAAGAAAAATTTCTCATGAAACACTTTGTATATCTTAAGGTGTTCTAAGGTAAAGATCGTTTTAAGTTTAGAGAATCATACTAGAATCGACACCATGATAAATATAAAAAGCGTACATAATGTAAGTTTCATTGACGTCGAAACAACGACAAAACTACAATATTGCCTCTTTTTCAATAATTTTGCACGTGACTTTTTTTGTAAAAAGACTTTATTTACTCCATGGCAATGATAGTGCAGGTGTGGAGTCGAGAACTCAATGGTGATACAATAATATATTATTACGCCTTGTGGGTAAAGGATGGTTGTTGGTTTACGAGGTGAGGCAATGATCGATGCTTTTCTCGAGACTGCAATGCTTTGTTAACTTGTGTTCGTATCGAATCAATTTGCATAGTTGCAATATCATCAGGAGACATACTATTTTTAAATAATTTGACAAGATCTTGTTATTTATTGATGCTAGTGTCTGCTCACGACTACTTAGTCGTATAAGTCTGCAACGACTTATAAATGTTTCAGTCATACAAAATTTCACACTTAAAATATTAACAATATGGCGCTACAATTTCAAATAAAAAATTTATTTGTTTTCTGGAAGGACGAGTCAGGATTTATCGTTTCTACCTTATCATGTCATCATATTCATACTCGTAAGTCTAATGTTCGTTCAATATGTGGAATATTTTTTTTAAGTATATAGAATAGATAAGTAGATTTCTACACAGACGTTTTGGTGCAAGCATTTATATCGCCGATGCTTTTGACTCGCCTGTGCCTCTTCTGTTTGATGCTGGTATCGTCTATGGACTTAGCTGGAAGAGGAGAGCTCACACGATGCGCATGATCTGCCTTTTGTCCGTACCTTTGAGATCAGAATGGTTTAAAATTTTAAGCAAATGTCATCAATAGAGATACAGTATCAAGTTATTTAAATCCCATCTCTATTGAAGGACCCTTTTTCGTCTTGGCCTTCGTTAACCATATTTTCTGCCATACTTCTCATATTTAAGCATAATTTATTCCACAATTTACAACTAATCATCTTAGCATTGTGAACTATACTCTCTCTCATATACCTATTATAATAACATTTATTGATACAATTTCTTGAAGTAAGTGATACACAGCCAAAACTAATAAGCATAAACGTGAGATGGTACTTGACTATGTCATGTAATTTTTGAATTAACAAGAGGAATTGTTTTTTAGCATACCTGTGAGTAATTCCGATATTCTCCTTGATATCGTTTAATCTTTGCAGACTGTCCCTCGTCGACACGCTGGACTGGGAGTACAAGCTCAACGGCGTGTATATCGGCTCATATTCTTGCAGCGTCGGTGGAGGCGCATACGTCATGCTCAGTTGGGATAAAGTTCTAACTGCGATTGGTGGAGAATACGACATCTGGTATGGTTGAGAAGTCAAACTTAGTACGCTGGAACTCTCACTAGAACTAGACGGTGACGTTCTATCATGTTTAGGCTTCAGAGCTCCCAAAGCTCGAGTAATAGACCCCTAAAAGTAATATTGCGATTATTAAACAGAAGAAATACCTAAATGTCTATTTGGAACATTTTTCAAGTTAAATCTTTACCCTTAAACTATGTCTCCTAGAATCAGCGGTCAGATCGATTCCCGGTAACCCAGTGGCAACAGACCTCGAAAATGGTCTACCCAACATTCTGATCTGATGTCCGAACATATTCCTGAAAGTACATTAAGTTATGATAAATTATCAGAATTAAATTACAAATTTGAGATAAGAGCAAAGCCAGACAGAGCGAAGTTTGCTTCAATGTTTAATAATAGTTTAATTATCTCAAATTTGCACTATTGGTTCCATTTAACTGCTAACACAAAAAGCTCTCATGCAACTTCTTGTATGTATTTATTGATTATTGGTTTTTAATACATTTTGGATCATTATCCCTTATAACATAAAATTTAATGTTATATATTACTTAAAAAAAGCTGCAGAGAGACAGATTTATGTGAGTTTAGAACTTTATAAGAATTTGCATAGACATCAAAAGCATGATGCACGATTTGCTGAAAACGATACGAATCATGCTAATTGAATACGGATTATGATTAAGTCGATAAATAAAAAGATTGTGGCCATTATGTTATGATCAAACAAAGAACAGTACTGCAATGATGAAGAGTTTGCGACTTGAATAACAATAAGTGATGCTCATATAGGTATAGCAGTAGCAGTACTTTTCTCTGTGAGCAGAACTGAAAACAATGTCAAGTAATTTAATCAAAATGTTGTAAACAAATTAGACAAGCACAAAAATGACAATGTGATTGAAATCATTTATAATTAAAACCAATTTTATGGAAGGAGAAAGAGTGGACAGAGCCTGGTAAAAGTGCGATCTAATGATGATGACAGAGAGGCATTCATGATGTATCGATAAAATGATCGTTACCGTTCTGTCTCGATGAAAGGATCGCCAAGTATAAGGGTGATGGATAATAAAAGAAACCGACTCGATGTCCTCTGGGCTTTATATTTTATCAAGATTTATTCACATTTATAATGTCAACCGATACCATTACAGATGAACCTAATATACAATGTCGCCAACTATACAATATTATGAATGTATACAAGTCAAAAACATAATTCATATCTTACAGTATCAGTAAATGCTATTATTGTTATAACCCCTAAAGCTATTGTGAATGGTTCTGTTTTTATTTCTAGAAGTACGTCTTCGTGAAATATTTGAAAAACTTCTCATACTAATATTTTATAAATTCATGATAAATTTGAAACAAATCCTGATTACTATTCAAGAATTGGGATTTGATTCACCCCCTATATTAACAGGAAGCATTTCATGCTTTACGTAGATATATCAACTAAGTTGTATACATTTACTAAATTTACCAAATCGATTGATCATGAATAAACACTGATATGATTAATCTATTCTACGGCAAGTTGGGAACTCTAGGGGGTTACGATGTAGAACATTGAATCTAACACTGACGTAGGCGAAGGGAAATAAAGATCAGTGTGAATGTTTCCGATCGCTATACTTTTCGAGTTACTTTTACTTACAAACCATGGCTCCTACAATTACTTATCAGTCTTCACCGCTCGTAAAGTTTTCGATCAAAAAAGTTTCACAAACGAGCGAGTCATGACGGAAGATACCTAAAACTTTTGTTGCAAAGAAAAAATTGTATATTTTTATGTGTAAAAATAGCAACTTTACAAACATTTTGATACAGGAAATTTTACATAGATACAGGTTGACGAGACTGGGCGTCGAAGCTAGATTTACTTTTTGAACGAGAGTTTTTTTATTTTCGTAGATTTATCTTTGTTTTGTGGACAACATGGATGCTCGGGCAGCCTCCACTTGCAGTTCTTCCACCTGGCAAAATATCGTATACCTGCAGGATTGCACCTCATATTATAATCAACTACAGGTTGCTCACCTAGAGGGACGTGACTCTTGACAACTATGCATGCAGTGTGCTAAGGACTTTCCTTCCAACTTTACGGTATTTAATTTTAAAATCACATACTCTCTTATTAGTAATGGGTATCAAGATAGGTTATTACATTAGGCAGTGCTTTGTCATGAGTAACAATTACTGATTCAAGGTAGGTAGTTACTGTGAATTCCCTTAATAGACGAGGAAAACATAATATTGTTATACATAGTTACAAAATAATAAGATTAGTTAAATCTGCGTCTGTTAATAGAATGTAAATGGTTGAAATGCAAATATTTTGTTTCCCTCAAATGGAATAATGATGAGTATTATGAGGCATTACCTCGCTGGGATGATGAGAGCATCAAATTCCGCAACCAAATGCCTCCTTATTATACTTTTGGAGGGAGGAATGCCCAGAGCTGTCGCCATTGTCTCGCCGGTGAATGACGGCTCTAGAACCACTAATCCGCCGTGAACTCCGCTGTCTGATAACAGTCAATAGCAAATCAAATATTTTTAATTTTACGTACCATATTATTACTATTTCGAATAAAATATTAGAACGTTGCGAACATTTTTACTTTTTGGAATATGTCAAAATATGGATATTGTATAAGGTAAAGTGATGATAAACATATTTTTAAGTCGTTCTTGCAGTATCAGTCGTACGTTAATTCGAATGTTACTAATAATAATAATACTGAAAAATAAAAATAATCCGTTTTTTACAACATACAAATCTTGAATACACATTAGGTAAATTCAACCTGTATTCTATTAATAGGTGCAATTAATGAAAATCGCTCATTTAGATGTCAAATAAAACATTCTATTACCTTTAAGGTTCTCTGCGAACTCTCCTAAATCAATATTATGGGACCACCGCATAAACCGTTGATTTGTCCAAACCAACGGATCTGCGTCAACGTTTTCGCACTGATGCCGTCGCACAGCTAAAGCCTATAACAAACAAAATAATCATCCCTTTCTGAATTAAGCCTCCTTTGTTTCTTCTTTTTGGCAATTCTTTCTTTACTGGCACGGGAATGGAATTAGAATTGATGAACTACATTTGTAGGTAATTTTATTCGCAGAAATTGTATCCAATTGAAATATTGTTTTGGATTATCATTGTTGTTTCATAGTTGTGACGGTAAAGGATGACAAGATAATATGAAAGAATTTAACGGTTCCTTAATTAGGTTATTTTAACGTTAACTGCAATTGACAACTTAAATTAGTACAGAAGAAAACAAATGCTAAACGGGGCTAATGGATTTTTGTTTAAAAACCGTTTTTGTCTGCTATTAACATTATTAATAAGTAATAACACAAGTTAAAGACAAAAACCTTTTTTAAGGATTCTATGACAATTCCTATCAGTGCCAATTATGCGTCTATTTTATACTCTGTTTAAACTAATTTTGCGAATGTCGTGTTTTCATTCATACTTTTAATAATGAATCAGATATAGCTTAACATAAACGAAAAGATAAACAATTGACTAGCACATACCGGATAAAATCAAACATAGGCAAGATATTCTGGGCTATACTGGACATATCTCTAAGGATACATTATAGAAGAAATTGAATTATTTCTTTAAAACATAGATAAATGATTGATTATTTAGCTATGGTTAAAAAAAAACTATGGTTTAACACAAATAATAAGGGATTGGCCTTACCTGTCTGTCATACTTCATTATTCTAAGCAAATGTATGCCGTGAACGATGGATGCCTGGTGGAACTTCCTCGTGACGCCGAGGTATTTTTCCAACTCCTTTTTGGAGATTGTGTCCAGCATTCTGGCATCCACTAAGTTCGCCAGGAATGACTCTGCGTACTGTTTAAATAGGGAATTTCACTATAAATTAATAAGGATAGTTGGTTGGTAGTAGGTGTTTCTGATAACTAAAATTAAAATCATGTTTTTCATGTAGGAACAACCGAAATTGGAAGAAGTTCACTAAGTATTAATTGATGGTGTCATTTATTTTTTCATATAAATTGGGCATTAAAATCTTAATTGATATTATTTATTTATAACACCAAATATTTAGTCGTAAAATTCAAGTGTTCGAAGAGACACTTTCTTGTAATCTAGACGTCCGTAAATTCAACTTATTACATGTACAGATTATGATTACATAAATTTTCCTGTACCTATTTCACAATGGTATCGGTTTCACAGCAGTGATAATTACTTAGCTCTGCAAATCAATGTCTTTGATTTCGATACCCTTCTTTTCTTTACCTGCGACAATCCCAAAGCAGACTGCCATTCCGCCGCCGACCAACGCGTGCGTCAACTGCTCTATGGTCGGGTTCCGCACAAGATCCGGCTTCCGCTGCTCCACCAACACCAGCCGCGGCTTCTTGCGGTGCATCGCCTGAGTCACACCAAGGCCCACTTCCAAATTCGCGTGTGTAATCTCGCCCATTCTGCACCCATATTTTATTTGCCTGCGGCAATCCCAAAGTGGGCAACCACTTCGCCGTGACCCCCGCGTACGTCAACTGCCCTATGGTCGGGTTCCGCACCAGATCCGGACTCCACCACTCCTCGATCCCCGACCAAAGCTACATACGGTGCATCGGCTACGTCACACCGAGGCCCACTTCTAATACCGTGCCCGCCAACTCGAACTAAAACTGCCCATTCAGTACCCTTCTTTTGTTTACCTGCGACAATCCCAAATCGAGCAGCCACTCCGCCGTGAGCCACGCGTGCGTCAACTGCTGTATGGTCGGGTTCCGCACCCGATCCGGCCTCTGTCGCTCCTCGATCGCCAGTTGAAGCTTCTTGGGGTGCATCGCCTGCGTTACACCGAGGCCGACTTCCAAATCTGCTTGTATAAACTCGAGCAAAACCTGCCCATTCTGCACCTATATTTTATTTACCTGCGACAATCCCAAATCGGGTAGCCACTCCGCTGCGACCCACGCGTGCGTCAACTGCCCTATGGTCGGGTTCCGCACCAGATCCGGCCTCCGTCGCTCCTCGATCGCCAGCCGCAGCTTCTTGCGATGCATCGGCTGCGTCACACCGAGGCCAACTTCCAGGTCCGCGTCCGTTAACTCAAGCAGAACCTGCCCATTCAAAGCACGGATCTAGAACCAACCAGAACACAATATTTGACGCTACTATTGCGTCAGATTTTAATGCTAAGTTTTATTGGGTTTATTTTGTTTGTTGGTGATATTTTCGTTTTGATATTTCAATCTATCGTAACCTTTCCATGAAATTAGATAATGCCCATGGAATTATACTTTTATTTTTAAAGAATTTAACTACTAGATGTTTATATCTAAAGATAATATTGTGGGTTTCTGACAATGCGAAGAGATGACGCTGTGTTGCAGCCTAAGAAATACAAGAAAGAATTCGACACGGCCATTAGGGCCGCGGAGCATAATGGTCAGTGCATCCACCCCGATAGCGGAGGGTGTGGGTTAGAGTCCTGTCTGCTGCGTCGGACTAGACGGTCAGCGTGGAATTTTTTCTAGTAGAATTTTCTAAAGAAACCCATGGAATGTTTTAAATTAAAAAAAAAATGCAAATGGTTCTCAGTAAATTTCAATTTGACAAGAATAACCAAGCAAGTCTCACAAAAAGTCAAATATCCAAAAATAACAAGTCAGATGCTATTTATTATATTATTGTTAAGTAAACTACTTAATATATGATATAAGGGTAGATTTACAAAGGCTTCTCTGCAAATATAAATGGAAATTAAAATTAAACAATTGTATTCGTGGAACCGAACGAAGGTATCATTCAATCAAAAGTTCCGTGCTCGATATTAATAAGGCTACGTACGCGTGCCGATAAATCGCAGCTCAACGTGTTTTGAATAAACAAACGCCGCGATGAATTTATCTGGAAGCTTTGTATTGGGACTTAATTTCCATACAAATCTAATAAAATGAGCGCGCCTCGTATAACGAATGGGCATGGGAGTAATGAAAACGGTTTTTTTTTTTGTTCCATTCGTATATAATGTTCAAAAAGATAAGCCTTATTGTTTTAAATGGGAATTACGAGCGGACGTAAAAAAGGAAACTAAGATTTGAGGAATGCGTACCCCTTTCAATTTGTAAAAAATGTTAATTGAATGGGCACATTTGAATCTTTGTACAGACCTTAGTCACGACGTTTATTGTTTGCTTTTAAATGCTCTGAAAATGTTTTTATTCTAAAAAGCTCTGCAAGCTTGTACTTAATAAAATGCTTAGAATAATCAATAACATTTCCATTTTATTAACGCCTTAACTGTGAAATTAAATTTGTCTTTGTTTTTCGGTAAAATATGCGGTATTGTATCTTAATTTATTTACATTGGGAAATAAATCCATTTTATTACTTCTTAAAGAACATGATTAAATAATCAGGATAAGGAGTTTAGAAGATTTAGATAAGGAGACGTTAGAATAAGTAGTCGAAAATGTAATTTCCATAATTATCAGCTGGTTTATTAAATATAAAACTTATTTTCCTCGAACAACGGTAAAGAAAATCTGTGATTATTCCTCAGAAATTAAGGCCTGGGGCAGTATTTAATCCTCAAAAGGTAAAAATGCTGATAATATCCACTTATCACAATAACTGGAACTGTAATTAGAACTAAGGTTATTGGGGTTTGCGAAAATCTGATTTAAGATTTTTTATTTGCAGTAATTTTAAGGAATCTATCAACATTACCGCTTTTTAAGATTCTGAGTCCACTACTTATATAATAAAAACACTATTAGCCCGGTGTTAGGACTTTTATTATTTTGATTTTACTCAATAATTCTGCCGTGCCTACTTAGAGTTCGTCTTAAGTCTTTTAGTAAATGCTGCTATCTGTTGCGTTAGTAATAGTGAAATATGACAAGCGATTAATATAATATTAAATTCCACATTTCTGCTTTTCATACACGTATAATATTAAAACTCAACTCAAAAGTCGGCTTGCCATTGTCGAAAATAATTACATTAATTTTGCCAACATGTCAAAATGGCCTTTGAAAGTGCGCGATAAGGTCTGAAGGCAAAGCACGAATTTTTGACAGATCCGTAACGTCGATACGTCATCATTAAATTTTGTATGGAAAAGGCAAATCTGTTCTTACGTCTGAGCTGTTTAGTTTTCATAGAAACTTTGACGATAACACTTAGATGGAGAAGTCAAAAAATCGTGTTTGAGCCTTTGTTAACTTTACATTAATGTGTGAGTGATAGAAATTACATTTAAAATTTTAGAGGAAAAATCCTCGTTCTTTTTTGTAGGTTTTAAGATTCTCTCTAGATTTTAAGTGTGAAATGAGATTCAGAATATTGTGCGAGGGTATCAGACGTACCTTCCCGCTCTTCACGTTGTCAGCGACGGCTGCGGCATACTGCGGCATGCCCAGTGCCAACTCTAGCCAGGCTATTATAGCCGGCGCCCGCCATCGAGCGAGGGGCAGAGATGCGGCTTCCCTGAGAGCTGCCTCGCTTCCGAGGGGCGACCAGGCACGCGCCGTACTCCCAGTGCCCGCATACACTGGTTCTGAACAACATACTATGTTTGTACTAGTGAAACCCAGTACTACAAAAATTTGGAAATTCTTTTTTCTTTGCATTAAATTTAATGTAAAGGTTCTTTTTTGATACATTAGATTTTTTTACTTTAATAATATAGAAAAAAACATAGGATAACCATATTTGAGTTCTGTAGTTTTTGAAAGACTTCAAAACAAAAGAGATTTAAAAGCAAAGAAAACCCGCACGCAATGAGCAATGTTCCAAATTATAAAATGTACGAAATACCTAAATACTAAGTTGCACTCACCACTCTTGTATCTCTAGATGGAATCACAGGCGGAGCCGCTACTAAATAAATAGTATTATATTATTATTAATAATTTGATCTCACCACTCTCACGCCCACTGACGATGGCGCTGCCGGATTTGGTGCGGTCCTCCCTGTGCGCGTACACCCTCGAGATGGAGCCCCAGACGGAGCCGCTACGAAATAAACAGTAACTCTAGACTCACCACTCTCGTGTCCACTGACGACGATGCTGTCAGACTTAGAGCGATGTCCGTTGCGCGCGGACAATCTCGAGATGGAGCCCCAGGCGGAATCATTACGAATTAAACAGTAGCTCTAACCTCACCACTCTGATGTCCACTGACGATGGGGCTACCGGACTTGGTGCAGTGTCTGCTGCGTGCGATCACCCTCGAGATGGAGCCCCCGCGTAGCAACTACGCTGCTTCCATGAACATACAAAATGAACTCACCACTCTCATGTCCACTGACGACTGCGCTGCCGGACTTGGTGCGGTGCCTGCTGCGCGCGAATACCCTTGAGATGGAGCCCCAGGCGGAGCCACGGCCCCGGCCCGCCTTTCCGCCGCCCGCGCGACTTCTCATGCCTCCCACTAAGGCTGTTTCGCACTCCCCCGGACTTGACAGCTGTTCCACTGACCTGTCCATGATCATCATAGACATAAATAATGGACCCCGCGTTCTCTAAGCAAATTTGAGATGAAACTGGGCAGATAAGAGTGAGAGAGACAAGTAGAAGGAAGGCCCACAGGTCTACTTTATTATTTCTCATAGTAGGACACACGCACATTAAGGTGTACACTCAACACGAGAGGCCGTTTTAGTCAATGCTACTTCCGTGGTGGAGAGCGTCCTTGTTGATGGCGCTCTTTAAATATTATAATTAAAAAAGGCACTTTTATAGGAATCCTGAATGTTAATAAATACTTGAAAAATCGACTGTCTCAAGTGACTCCTATGTACTTGAAGATCCGTCCTTCAGCTGTCCAGACGATTGCTCTTGTTACTGTTTTTAACCTTCATAATTGTTTCTTAACATCAAGCGTGACTTTTAAAACGCATTATAAACTGTCATAAGTGCCTTTGGGCCAGTCATTAATTTTGATATAGGCATTTGTATTTAAGATTTTGTACACTTAAATGCGATTTATTTTAAGGCACTGTCTGTCTTGGCAGCAGTATGACGGTAATAAAAAAGTTAAAGTTTGCAGTACATTTTTTAATTAGCTTTTGTGGACAATGAGCTTATTTCATAGAGAGCGGCCACTTTTCGTTGTAAAACTAGGAAGAACAGTAATTTATTAATTAAAAAATACTTTCATTATGTTAACGATAAATTTGATGAATTTGAGATGATTAAATGGTAGCATAATACTGCTTTCAAATCTGACCATATATGTATATGATTTGATCAAAATGCAATTGTATATTTCTTAACAAAACTGCAGTATGAATAGATAAATAATATCTCCACACAAGTATTCTAACATTATGTGGGTGGGGATTTATCATCACGCTCTGTCATCATAAATAATAATAGATTGATTCATATAGATAATTTGTATAGTCCAGGCTACGTCGGTGAATCCAATTTATATTGTCATGACTCTCACTGAACGTTAACCGATGTTGTCTGTTGGCAATATCATTAATTGAAGTTACCATTATATTTTTTGATGGTAACAGCTTGTCTTTCACTATTGATTGATTGACCTGAATCCTCTATACAAAGTCATCATTAATATATTTCGCTGTGAAAGTATGTTATTTTTTAAATCAAGTATAAATATACAAAAAAAACCCTCTAAATTACTCTCTCCCTCTTTTTTCTTCCTATGCAATTAGTACCGTAATTACTGTGAAAACTACTTTGGAAAATGTCTTAAGAGCCCTTTTACAAAATTGCGCCGGTGCCGTACTGATCGGCGCGTAGGTAGATTTGCACTAGTAATATTGCATTTTACGGGTGATGTTTCGAGTCTTATAAAATAATTATTAATGAAGTAATTATAGAAATATATACTTATTTCAGTAGTTCAATGATGGTAGATTAGTTTTATAAAAGTTTTTGATAGTAATTCAATAGAATTAATATAATTCATTATCAATATACGAGATAAACCTGCATTATTTTTTGGGAAAACTCACGGCGGTTAGATGTTTTTTTGATAATTAATGAGATAGAAAATTAATTTGATCTTATTTATTGAACATTATTTAGAGATTCAGGCGTTTGAAGTTGTGCATTTTATCATTTTTTCCGTAAACTAGCTGCGGTAGAACGGCTGAGGTAGCGATCAGTACAGAAAAAAGGGAAACAGTATTTATAACAGTATAAAAGGAGCGGAACTACAATGATGAAAAAAAACTCGTGTAGGCTAGGTCGCTTAAATCCAGAGGCGCTTGTTACAGGTCACGTTCCTCTTTGATACCTCGCAAACGAAGCGTTTAATGGCCACCACAAGTGGTCAGTGGCCACCATAATTTGTAATACTCTCAACTGCGTACATTCTCTAATCTCTAACCATTATTCAGATTGAAGGTCTTTAAGGTCCGGCGTGGCTAGCAAATAGCCGTAACGTATGACTGTGGCAGAGACAAAATTGCCATTCGCTATACGTGATACTGAAATTAGAAAAAAATCGTTTCCAAAATCGTGGAAGCTGCTTGTCCTTAGCTACCAGTGGCTATGGCTTATTTAGCACAGGCAAAGGTAGGTAAGGTAGGTATCTTGTTTCGCTCATGGATTTTACTAATAGAGAGGACAGAAGCAATATACGTGGGACACTCAGAAAGTTTTGAGAAACCAAATTTTTAATGACAAAAATATTTTTATTAAATCTTTTCATAGAACTCTCCACCAGCCTCTATACAAAGTTTCATGCGTCTGAACCAATATTCAAATATTTTTTTCCAGTCATTTGCAGACACCTCTTCCACGGGCTTCTCAGACGCTGCTAGCGCTTCTCCCGGCGATGAAAACTGTATCCCTTTGAGCTAATTTTTTATTTTATGGAATATTAAGAAGTCACACGGAGCCAAATCAGGACTGTAAGGAGGGTGTCCCAAGACTCTGACTGGTGTGGAATCCAGGAAGTCCTTCGTTTTGATCGCAGAGTGCGCGGGCGCGTTGTGGTGGTGAAGAAGGACCCCGCGGAGCCCGGTGTTAGGTCGATTGTTGCTTGAATCTTCTGGCAGGCATTTTGTCCTATACTATTCAGCGTTGATACTGCTTTGAAAGTGGAATTTAAATTAGGTACCCCGTCAAAGTGAAGAAACTAGCGATCATTCCCTGCGCTCCTCGATCGCTTCATTTTCGTAGGCGTTGGTTCATTTTGAAACAGCCAAACTGTCGACTGACGCTTTGTTTCTGGATCGTATTGATAAATCCAGGACTCGTCACCTGTCACAATATTGTCAATGCGCTGTGACGAGCCTGTATCAAATTTTTGTATCATATCACTGCACCAATCCACACGGGCCTACTTCTGAGCTTTGGTGAGGTTGTACGGCACCAGCGGGAAACTATCCTCTTTACGCAAAGGTGCTCGTGCAAAATCTTGTGAACACTTTCTGAACCAATCTGCAGAGTATGCTAAATCTCTTCGTACGTAATTCGTCTGTTTTCTTAAATATTTTTTTTAATCTTCTCGATGCAGATCCATTTTTTAATAAGACAAGAAAAAATTAATTGGCTCTCGAAAAAATGCGGAAGGAAATTTTAAAATCGAGGAGTGGTATTTTTACTAATAAATAATCGAAGTTTTTAAAATAATTACAAGTGGCCAGAATGTTGTACATAAAAATTTTTTTTCGCAAATCTTTCTGAGTGTCGTGGTATTTCATAGTAGGTATGAATGAGCGGACCGTACTGAAATTTCTCTCTTCACCACCAGAATAACTCACGTGTTTGGGCAAAGTACCTACCTAAAGACAAGAGCGTTCAATTGTAACAGAATAACGAGCAGCTTAAATATATCATCACATTATGCTTGAAGTTTTTTCACAACGAGCGATTTAGTGTAACTTCTCATAGTAAATAATAATATTACTATATTCTCTGTAACCGATGTGTACCTACGATATTTCAAAGAATTTTAAACGCAAAATATATATGAATGATACTAGTGAAGTCTTACTAGAAGTGAGCATTAGACATCGAGCACGAATTTTGTAAAAGCGTTACATAAATAAATTGTAAGAAATTTCCTTTGCGGAAATGCGTCTTATCTATACTCATCTTTAGAGTAACTTTTTGGTTTTGTTTTTTCCTGCTTGTAAGGGTTATAAGAGGAGTTACCCATACCTATAAGTAGGGCTGCCATCTCTAAAATGTGGCAACCAGGATAAGACGCGTGATAACCCCGGACTTTAGAGCCCAGAACCCGGACAGACCAATAAAAATCAGTTAAAAATATCACAAATCAACTTTTTATGTTGATGTAGGCAAAAGAGCTAGCGGTCTACCTCATAATAAGTGGTCACTGCTGCCCATGGACACTTGCAGCACCAAGGGCCATTCATGCGTTGCCGTAAATTTTTAAACCCGGACTACAAATAAAACCCCTCCCGGACGCTCCCCGGACGCCCCGTAAACTAGGACAAATCCGGGAAAACCCGGACGGATGGCAGCCCTACCTATAAGCATTACGTTAATTAGGTAAAATACACATTATAAATGTGCTTGTATACTGTTTGTGTTTCGAAACTCACCTGGACAATGATCCAGCGTCGATAGATCTCGTGAATGGAGAGCCGCTGTTGTGTGGTGACAATGTAGGGCTGCAGTCCCTCGGTGTACTCACTGTGGGTAACGAAACTGGTAAAACAACCAAACATAATACCACTTTAATAGATAAGTGTTAAAATTCTAAACTTTTTCATGTCAAAGAAGGTAATAATGGGATACAATAGGTTTTCCTAGATTTCTATATAGATAATCGTAACATGAAAAACCAGTGCGAAGATAAATATTTTTAACATAAATAATAAACCTTTTCAACACATTTGCATATTCATCATCTCAGCCGTACGACGCCTACTGCTGAGCATAGGCCTCCCCCAAGGATCTCCACATCCATCGGTACTGTGCCACGCGCATCCATCGGCTTCCTGCGATCTTTGTCATATCGTCGGTCCACCTGGTGGGGGGTCTTCGCACCGAGCGTCGTCCGGTGCGTGGTCACCATTCGAGAACCTTTCTGCCCCAACGGTCATCGGTTCTCCTCGCTATGTGTCCCGCCCACTGCCACTTCAGCTGAGTAATCCTCAGAGTGACGACAGCTACTTTAGGTCTCCAGCGGATTTCCTCATTTCTGATTGTATTACGTAGGGCGATGCTTGATCGCTCTCTACATTTCCCGCTGTGCGACCTTGAGCCTTCTTATGAGACCCATAGTAAGAGACTACTTTTCGATTCCGTAAGTCATCATTGGCAACACACACTAGTCAATGACTTTTGAGTTGAGTCACTGAGGTAATTTCGACGCAAAGATTTATGTAAATTCCCGAACGGTCGGAACGGAATTCTCCGATCCGAGTAGAATACGACGAGAAGCCTCTTTCTCAAAGTCGGACCTACCTAACGGAACTGTCTGTCCCAGGTCAACGTAATGGTCGACAACTTCGAGTGGAGTATTCCCAATTTTAACTGGGGGAAAAAATGCATTTTCAACACATTTGCCCGAAAATGTATTTACGGAGGCTGTATACATTGTTCAAAAGTTCAAAATTATGGGCCATACAACTATAAAATAGACATAGCAGAAGGTAATCTCGTGTATGTACTTCACTTAGCATACCTACGCTCGGCGGTTGCGCTAGGATTGTCAACATTAGCTTATGCACTAAAAATTATTGCGGTAGTAAACGATTTACTGTCGAGAATGAAACAGAATGAACGGAAATTTAAACCAAAAAGAATTAAATCAGAAAAAATGCCATATCGTTTGAAACTTGGGACCTAAAACCAAATTGATGATGCATGCAATTTGGTTTTAGGTCCCAAGTTTCAAACGATATGGCAATTTTTTCTATAGACAATGAAGGTAAAATGCGTTTCTGAATCATTCGTCAAAGTATCCCTATTATCAATCCTATATATTAATTTCCCGATTACAGGCGATGATGACCACTCATGGACAATTATGCCCTCTACACAATCGTGCGTGTCTTTAATCGCCAACCATGGACAATTGTGAAGAGGGGCTACAATATTCACGACCCGCACGTGGGGCCATTGGAAATGCGCGCCATTTTTTTTATTAAAAATTTGCTTCATTACTAATTATATTAGGTATAGGTACAGTACTGCTTTCTCGCAAATGTGTTAAAAAACGTTATAGGAAATTCGTGCGGAATTGGTATGTACAAACTTGTGACTATGGTACTTCCTCTCGGGTTTTTGACAATGATGAACTTATGTATGTGTGCCTCGGCTTCCCTTCGGCCCACATTTATACGTTCGACCATCAATGCCTCTTTTTCTGGCCGCTGCAGTAATGTACTATTGGGAGCTTAGGCTCTCAGATATTAGTATCTGTAATAATCTTTCTTTTAAAAGCAAGTTCAATTTCATAAAATCATGAATTGTAAGGCATTTTATTAATAAAATATCCCGAACGATAATAGACTTAATTTATCGCCGAAGTAAAAACGTGAGCAGGAATATTTTTCCTGCAACGTCATTATCGGACTTTTGTAGCGAAGTAAAAACACAGTTATCAATCGGTCTCCTGAGGCGGGACGGAAGTTGTGCGGCGAGTTGAACGAGGAAATCCGATAACTGTATGTAGGTAGCAAACGTTGGCTTTATTAAAATGTATCACAGTTACGTGAAAGTCTTATTTGAAATGCGATTTACGCTGAATTAGGTACTTATAATTCAAAGATAGTAAAAACTGCCATTTCTGATTTTCTAACTGAGTCTATGATTTCATTGCCACCAGTGCAGTGCTAGCCAATACCACGACCAGTTTCGATTTGTTATTCTGAATTTATTATCAAAAATATCTAGGCTACAAAGTTCTTAAAGACCAGTCTCTTACTGAGAATCGGCGACTGATACTGTCCATCAATGCATACAAATTAAAATTGTCAAAATTGGGATACTTTAATACCTATTTGAACCGCACGAATATGGCTATAATAACCTCATTAATTAATTTAATTACATCGTACGGCGAAAAACAGGAGAAAAGGTTAATTGAGAAACATTTTTGTACCGGACATGCAATCTTCTTAATTTGTCATGTTCCCAAACCCTTCTTTCTATAGATAGATAGATAGATCCAACACGGGTGTTTTCCAAACCCCGAATTTGGCTGCCATAACGATCTGTTAACCAACCGTAAACTGAAGGCTCTACGGCATTTCAGTTCCAGCGTGCCCATTTTACGACACTCCAGCGAACTTTGATAATTAAAAAGAACCATTTTCAAAGAGATTTGTGGAAATGCGATTGCTTTGATTTAATTTGACTAAAATTAGTTGTGGATGGAATATGGGTAAAAACTACACTTTAAAAAGCTTCGATATGTGACTTTTGTATAGCTTCTTACTTGTCTCGTAAGCTCTTTGTGGTTAAACTTGTAAGCTTGTATTGTTGATCGAAGTAGTTAATTCAGAATATGCTTGAGCTTGCCAACTATGTGTCGAAAATTTGTGGTGTTTTTTTTCTGTTTAGATTATAACCAAACGTTCATAAATTACAATACATACAATTATGTCAAATTGGCACTAACGGTTTGTCATTTTTCTATGGCATATATCTAGTTTAAATTGAATCGAGATTTAGTAAATTTGCTGCAAGTGAGTTATATTATAAAATCCAAATTGAGTCTTCTTTGTTTCTTACTTGTTGGCATTTTTATAATTAAAAAGTGTATTTTTGCCTTTGAACCTGACATAATATTTTATTAACGTACTATTTTAAATGTTTCCCGTGCATAAAATACACAAACAAAACAACAAAAAGATACGTTGAAGAAACGTAAATGACGGAAACGATGTTTTAAAAAAAATCTATCATTGTGAAGTTTGATCTCGAAGCAAATGGTATGTTAAACTGATAACCGGACAGGCAACGGTCGCCTAAGGTTTTGCATAAATCCATTGATTGGAATAATAGCATTCGTATTGCATTTGTAGTGTATACGGATGAATTGGAAATGTACCGCATCGACAAGGCTACCCATTACAAGGCAAGGCATTATGATTTAAACTTCACTAGAACTATCATGGAAACCTCTAATAGATTTTATAGGGGTAAATTAATGAAGGCTTCATTCTTATAAGTTTATACGACCTTTTACCTTAAGTTGCTTAAGTTACATGTAAGTGGGTGGTAAAGAAACAAAATAAAACATCAACACACTTTTAAAAGTTATAACGAGACCGTAGTAAGCTCAGTTTGTTCTAAACTGCTTACGTTACGTGTTAGTTGGGTGGTAAAGAAACAAAATAAAACATCAACACACTTTTAAAAGTTATAACGAGACCGTAGTAAGCTCAGTTTGTTCTAAACTGCTTACGTTACATGTTAGTTGGGTGGTAAAGAAACAAAATAAAATATCAACACATTTTTAAAAGTTATAACGAGACCGTAGTAAGCTCAGTTTTTTCTAAACTGCTTATGTTACATGTTAGTGGGTGGTAAAGAAACAAAATAAAACATCAACACACTTTTAAAAGTTATAACGAGACCGTAGTAAGCTCAGTCTGTTCTAAACTGCAACAATAATAATAATAATTTAGCCACCTACTATAAATTCCGATGAAGATATAAACTTTTATCATAGGTTCAAGCACCCGAACATATAACCGAATGAGTCGCATTATAAAATCAAATTTATTCGCTTGTATTGTGAACCGTTGTAATGACGTTAAAACCGCTCGGCTCCAATGAAGTGTGCTTTTAGCCAGATCCATCAAATTAACAGAAGTGTATGTCGCGATGCACTTCGCAAATTGCCATGATGCCGCTTTTTAACGTTAATGGGTTAGCGTTTATGGAATATTTTCAGTCCCCCGAGGGGCGCGTAAATAAATAATGCATTCATTTCAAAACGCTGCGGCGACGAATACGTTTTACGAATTTCAGCGAGCTTTTGAAACTAAAATAATTTTTATTTTAGTTATTAAATCATTATTTTTAATCTTTTTTAATACTAAATAGTAGACCACTTGTAATGCTTAAGTAGAGGTGATGGAAAAAAAATTAAACGTTTATTTTTAACTATGATTACTTCATAAATTCGGTACATTTATAAAAGGCAACCGTTTAAATTTGACATACATGAAACTATTATGCTGTGATGGATGCTTACGCAAAGAAAGGAAAACTCACCCCTACATTGGTAAAACGGGGGTTCAAAGTTTGTATGGGGAACCAAATTTTCCACGCAGATGAAGTCCCGGGCACTAGTTTATATAAATTTATCAATGGACAACCTTTGTATTAAATGAAAGACGTTTAAACGGGTTTATAATGCGTTTTTTGTAAAAAATCTTGACGTCTCGCATCCTTTTCAGGACGCGTCATCAGAATTAATTAATCAGTCATCAGAAGTCATTCAGGATGCGTCGTCAGAATTGATAATGCAGCCGCAATTCTGACGACGACACCTCCTTTTCAAAGCTTTGTGAAAATTTATTAAAAACGCATTTCAAACCCCTTTAAACGTGTTTCATTTAATGAATGGTGTGCGTGAAAACTTAAGAAGCAAATAACCTTTGTATTGCAAAAATTAAACAAGACATCTGTGTTTTGAGAGCGGACCAAAATGTTAAGCATTGCATCTCACCTTTCAACCTTCAGAAATAGCATTTCAATTGTGACTCACATTGATATATGTGGTGGGCGGAAGACACCAGCGAAGTGGCATCAGTATCGTAGGCGTCCAAAGTTGGCGGGGCGCCCTCTGCCGTTGAATCTGACAAGTTTCCGCCACACACTGACGTCGCGCCACCATCGCTACTACCTGTTACTGACATACAAAGTTGCTGTATAAAAATTAACTTCAAACATTATTTTACTGAATTAAAACTATGTAAAATCGAATTACAAATACTAAAAAGACTAAAGGCATGGATTTATTTGTCGATGCAAGAACAATCTATTGAAATGAGATGATTTTTATGCTTGTTATCCAATTCGATGAACCGTGTCAAAATTATTTAGGTAATTAATGAGATAATTAGCGATGATTTGTAAGCCTATTAATAACGATGGGAATTCTTTTATTTAATAATAATCTAGTGAGTTTAGGAGTTGAGGAGCTCGATGGTGCAAGTGGTTAGCGCGTTCGGCTGCGATCGTTGAAGTTAAGCAACTATATCAGTGGTCGGTCATTGGATGGGTGACCAAAAATTAACTATCTTGAGCTCCTCCGTGCTTCGAAAGAAACGTTTAGCCGTTGTTCCCGGCTGCATCTGTAGTCGTTAGCACCCACCAATACGCACTGGGCCCTCGTGGTGGGTCATGGCTCAAACTTCCTATTCCATCCATAGGGAAGGCCTGTGCCACAGCAGAGGGGACATTAATAGGCTGATGATGATGATGATGAGTTGAGGAGTACGGACTTTTTGTTCTGATTTTAGACAAAACTTCTATTGAAATAAAATAGCCTAGCTTTCCTAAACCTACCCAGTCAATGTACCCAATTGTAAATTGCCTTTAAGTTAATTTAAAGTTGCAATTAAATCAGTGTCCACTATAAGACTACTGATCTCACTTAAATCTAAATATCATACCCCTGACACCTGAGTCTGCGCTACAGCTGCCGCGGTCGCCGATCATTCCAGATGGACCAAGCATCATTGGAGGCCCGATTCCAAGGGAAGCCACGCTCTCCCCTTCTGATAGGCAACCCGCTGCTTGGAGTTGTCTACGAGCCTAGTGGAGAAAAAAATAACATCACAAAAGAGATATTCGCTTTAATCATGCCCGTCTGGGGAAGAAACCTACCCAGGGAGGAAAAAGATCATCGTCATCAATAGAAACACAACACCACCAAATAGTGTTATTTTGACCTTAGACATTCTGGATGGACCAATCATCATTGGAGGCCCGATTCCAAGGGAAGCCACGCTCTCCCCTTCTGATAGGCAACCCGCTGCTTGGAGTTGTCTACTGGCCTAGTGAAGAAAAAAATTAACATCACAAAAGAGACATTCGCTTTAATCATGCCCGTCTGGGGAAGAAACCTACCCAGGGAGGAAAAAGATCATCGTTCTCAACAGAAACAAAACACCACCAAAATAGTGTTATTTTGACTTTAGACATTCCGGATGGACCAAGCATCATTGGAGGCCCAATTTCAAGGGAACCCACGCTCTCCCCTAATGATTGGCAACCCGCTGCTTGGAGTTGACTACGGGCATAGTGAAGAAAAAAATTAACATAATAAAAGAGGCACTCGAATCATGCCGAATCGCATCGTCATCAACAGAACAACATTACTAAAATACTGTTATTTTGGTAGTGTTGTGGTTTTGTTGATGAGTATAAGGTTTCAGGGCTACACATGGTACGCGATTGGGGTTCAGGATTGCAATGTTAGAAGAAATGAAGCAGGGTACTTTTCTGCCACATTAGCTTAATTAAACTCCTGTTACACTTAAAACCAGGTGGAGTGGGGCGTTATCCCCTATGCTGTGCCATGTTTATCCTATGAATATTATAAATGTGAAAGATAGTAATTTTGTACCTATGTTTGTTACAGAACTGCTTTGGATGAAATTTGATACGCATATAATTTATGACCTCTATAGGAATAAAATACTAGCTTACTGATTGAAACAATAAATATAATTTTACTCTCTTACAATTTTTTCAATAACAATTTTAAACATTATAAAACCAGACGAATTAATGACTATGGCCAGTTGGCCTTTATTGCAAATTTAAACCCATAGAAATTTTTCAAAACGTAAGAAAGCTTTATATTCCCGAAAAAACTTATTCGCTGCCAATAAAAGTTCTAATATCAATTTTAGTTATACCCGTGGTTATACCCTTTTGATTGATTCGCTTGCCAAATATTCCTAATGATTAATCTCATATTTTGATAAACTAATGCAAATACTGAACATTTTTTTCTGGAATTGTTAAATTTATCATTCTTCTATTTAATTTCTTAGGCCAGTTAATGATTGAGCTTAAATTAGGATAGAATTGAGGGAGATAATGGGCTAATTTTAGGGTAATGAGGTTTCGTGTGACAGAAATATTAATTGGTATTTAAGCGGATTTTGGTACTTTGTTTATACAGTTAAATAATCATTTCATATAGAGAATGCAATAGTTCTATAAACGACGATTTATATTTTTAAACGAAGAACCTATGAAAATAAAGGGGAAAATTATTAAATTGATAATGTCTTTAATTATGATAAACTTACACCTACCCACATACAAAAGTATTCCTAATATTTCATTATTTTTTTTTATATCGCAAGGGTGGGGAACAATTATAATGGTCAGCCTGATAGTGACTGAATGAATGAATGCAAGCCAGCTTAAACTTGTGAAAAGTAGAAATTAAATATTGAAATTATGCTTCACGAAATTGTCTATTGCTTCTTAAATATGTAGTATACAGTGCGTACTAAAATAAAAGTCATAACGTTTTGCTTTAAAGACATTCTATATTTTTGACATTGATTTTAGGCATTTTGCTTCATAGTCGTTAGACGGTTGCGATATCAGAGGAGTATTATTTACACCGTTGCCTACCCTCGCCTTATCCTATGTCCCGAGTGGTCCTGGAACCTTACTGATCGACAGAAACAAAACACCACTAAAAGGTAGTGTTGTGTTATTTCACTGCAATCTACTGTAAAGTGGAGGTCACTTCCCTAGACGGGCGTTCCGATTCGGGCAATCTGTTATCTCTCTTTACAAGTAGTCATGTATAAAAAATATGGCAAAGGGTTGTGGCAAACACGTCATATTTAACCGTAGTAAAGTTAGGATAATCTAGTTGACCGGACCATCGTCATAGAAACTAAATCCTGACGAAGGCATTTCTAAGTATTCCTTTCTTTGAAGTATGTCATCGAGGGTGCAAATCCATGTCACCTCAGGCAAGTATATTCGCAAAAGAAAACGCTCATTCATCAAACGATATCGTCAGAGATAGAAATATCAATGGTTCCTATAGGACTAAAGTAGCATTTTTTTTTCATTTTGGCTTTTTGGTCATTACTAAATGCTTGCTTTTAGTCTAATAAATGTCATTCGTTGGAAAGAAAATGCCCTTTTCTGCATCAAACTGTTTTTGCTACAGTAAAAGTGCTTATATGTCACGCTTTTAAACGTATAAGGGCCTAGCGGTGGTTCGAGACATACGCGGGGAGTTGTTTGGATTGTCTTTGACTTGTTTGAGTTATGACTGTCAATGGGTGGCATTAGTGTAAGCGATCAAGTGCATAATTTGTCAGTCTTTGATATTGGAAATTTGCTTGGCGATGCTATCTTTAGAACCAATAAATATGAATGAAAGGACCGAACGAATGAAGAATTCTCAGAATCTTGACTAACCTATCATTATCCACGATACTACGAATTTAGAATTTGTGCTAGAATTTTGATAGGCAAATTAAAGACGATAAATATTAAAATCTAATGAAAATAGTTACGATTGCAAATAATAAGACATTGAACATTTGGTTTAAGTATCTTTTTCGAAACAAGAAGGTAAGTAACAAGTAAATAACCTATTTAACATTCTGTTTTATAAATTGCTTCAAACTTAAAATCTCATTAGAAACGTAAATACCAGGTGATGTTTCAAGCTATTTCTGTATCATTTTGCTCGTACTTCAACACAGAAAGAGCCGTTTGAAATGTTAATTAAGAGAGAGAGATGATGAACTCTGCGCTCGCGACCTATTTATTTATTACGAGGAAAGTTATCGTAGGATAAAATTTTACACAAGCTATGTTGTATTCCATTATGCTATATTTCTCTTTTGCATCATCATCCCACATTTATCTATTAATATATAAGACTTCTAAAATCGTTCTAGAGAATTTCTGATAGTGGCATTTTCGATTTATGATGAAATAAAATCTACTTTTATGAGTATTATTAAAAAGATTTAGCAAACAAGTCTGCCTCACCCAATGCAAAGTATATACTTTCGCCGCTACTGTGATGGTGTACAATGTCGGTAACAAAAAGTGTCTATGTTTGCACAGCCATTTACACGATAACTCAAAAATAATAATTCAAGAGTCTATTCCTATTTAGGTACGAGTACCTATAAAAATGAGTTTTCAAACTTAAACTCACATTTCCTATTACAAACCAGAATGATGCGAATTTGATATGGTAATTTATACTGTCTAAACTGATGAATGACCACCAACCTTCCTATTAATAATAATATCGACTTTGCACATAGCACTCGTACTTGTATAATGCTTTCTGCTCCTCGTTACCCTAATCAAAAAAATCCTTAATTAAAAGCGATAAACAAATTAATCACTTTCGTTTGAAATTTCGTAAAAGCGTCATGCAAGCGGTATTAGATTGCGGTTAGTATGAATGGTGAACTTTTTTTATGTTAAAAAGGTATATGACCCGCCTAATGGTAAGTGGCCACCATGGCCTATAGACGCTTCCGATACCAAAAATATCACTCGCGCCATTTCCTACCCTGCCCCAAACCCCTACCCCGCTCCCCGTAGATCCCAGGAACCTTACTCGCCGATAGTAACACAACACCAATAGAAGGAAGTGTTATTGATGTGTAACATGTTTCCTCTCGCTTTCCTGCAATTTGTGCGAGTGATTTCGTGAAATGAGACGGAAGTTTGTAACAGGAAGTCGCGAAAGCGCGCGCTATTTGATTTGATTTTAGAACATAATGTTCATATGGCTTATTCCTTTTGTAATACGTTTTATTTCTTTTTTTACTAATATAAGGTGAGGTTTCAAATGTTACACATCATACGCGACTACTGTAAGGCTCGCTCGTTTTTTTTTACTGTGGTCTTCTGTAATGTTTACAGAGTTACTTCCACGTTCCAATTCGAGCGAGAAATCCACTGTGCTCTACATCTCTTTACTAAGTTTCTTTTCTAACTATTTTATTAATTTTAATATTGATAGATTAATTTAAGCGACAATGCTTTGAAAATTAAGAAACACTGTTAAGTAATACTATAAATGTCTAATATTTATTTGTTTATTTTCACGAATGGGTTCTAAAATACATTTATGTTTATTCGGTGTTAAGAGACAGCTGTAATTTTTAACATGATTATACATTTATTAGTCATTTACTTATTTAATTTAGATTAAGTTACGGACGCGGAGCATGTCTTTTGTTCGAGAGAGCGGTCAATGTGCAGCGATGCAATAAATCCTTTAGCGATAGCAATCTAGTAGATCAATTTGACCCGGTTTTTTTTTCAGCGATGTCGTCCGTGGCAGAATGGCAGAAGCGTCCACAGACGACATTGTCAGAGCAAAACAAATAAAAGAAAGCTCCAGGGGCCGTCGAGACAAAGAGATCCGTATATCAATCGATTCTCTATGTAAGTAATTGTTTGTAACTTAACATTGTTACTAAGATTTTAGCACTTTGTTGAGAGAAATAATACAACTACTCGCAAATGAACTAGTAATTGTTATTTGATATCATATTAAAGATCCATACATGTTAAAAATTCATAAATATTCTTCCGGACACATCTATCGCCCCACCACGCATTTTAGGTTTTGGCAGTCCCTAGCTAAAAAATAATGTTACATTGAGTAAAGAGTAGTACCTACGCTGTTTGAACCTAATTAATAAACCATCTTTTCATTACGAAAAGAGGGATTATGAAACAGGTCATTTTTTTTTTAAAATATTGCTCAACCATAACTGACTGTTGAAACTTATAACACTAGTGGGCCGATAGATATGTCACTACTACTACACAACTTTTAAGTTGTTAACAACGTTTAAATCTAAAGAAAAGTACTAGAAAAAATTCCACGCGGACCAGGCAGCAGATGGTGGATGGATGGATTTAAAAATCTAGCAGTTAAATGCTTAAAAAATAAAAACATAACTTGTTAATAACGTAAAATTTCCAATAGGAGGGTATAAATTCATATCATATCGGCTTTGTAACGCTCACCCTACTTTTCTTTCGGCCTTACATCAAAGCTACTGCTGTTCTTTCGTATGTCGTAGCTGCGGGTCACGAGCGAGTACAGAGAGCAGCGGCCAGTTGCAAATACCGCTCTGCATTGTCTCGCGCCCGCTATCATAGAACAGTGTCATATTCCCACCTACCCCTAGTACCCTTACATCAAAAAATTTTATCTTGTATGTCACAACTGCGTGTCGCGAGCGCTGAGAGCTACAGCCAGTTGCAAAGACTACTCCACTTCGTCTCACGCGTGCCGAAGCAAGGCAGCACGCTCACACTCACCCTCTGTACTTTTCCTAATACGCTTACCTCAAATAGCTGTTCTCTCGCATGTCGCAACTGAGTGTCGCGAGCACTAAGAGCTGCAGCTAGTTGCAAAGACCGCTCTGCTTCGTCTCGCGCGTGTCGAAGTAGCGCAGCGCGTTCACGTTCGCGCTCTGCCCGTTCAGCACCCAACGCTGATGATGCTCCACCTCTGGACCGCATCTGCTATCAATATTTTAATTAGGCCTATCACATATGGCAGCCTTGTTTTGGAAGGCGCGGGAGTAGTAAAGTATTTCTGTCCTAATTATCATTAAAATACTATTTATTTCAGATAAAAATGGTGTTGTTACCATGTTGGAGAAATGAAATATAGACCTAATACATTCGTGCTTTAAAACCCACTTGCACCCAAGTTCTTTATCTAAATTTAAAAGCTAATCAGCTCATCATTCTATTTTTTTGAGTTTAAGCATTTTTCAAAGATGTAATGTCTTAAACAAGATAAAGCATTATTTTGAATTAAAAACGTGGGTGAAATTGGGTCTTTTTTTATGTCTGGAAAATGCTTTACGCTTTCTCCGCCCTCCGGGAGAAGCAAAGTGGAGTTATCTGGGACTCCACCCAACTCATTTCATCCAGCAAACCAGACAATAATCCTGCACCTGTCCGCTAACACATATCCCGAGGACTGCGGTCCCTGACATATGTGTCAGTAGGGCATTGCATGGAAAACCCACAGTGGGATTGTCCTCGCGCCTGCCGGTGTTACCTTAATCATATATTATGATTCAACGATATTAAAAACCAATAATTTTGATAAGTGTACCTAAATATCATTATAATCACACTCGCCTGTTCGTAGTTTCGTATGAAGTCGCGTAATTCCTTCTCTTTGTCCTCCAACGTGGCGTATAGCTGTTTCATTTGATTTAGGAGGTCAAACTTCTCCGCCTTTAAACGCTTTTTGTCGGCTTTCAGAGCTGAAACAAAATGAAAGTAGCTTTGAAAACAACTCATGAGTGAGTGTACCTAACACTCACCTTGTGTTCTCATGAGTTGTTTCGTTTCTTTTCGTTTTCTTCGAGTTTCTTCGAGATTTATATCATTTTCAAGATCATTAATTTTGTACTTGGTGTTAACTTGTACAACGCTGAATGATATTAATCGTATTGAGTTTGAAATTGGTGTGGTTTTATGAAACTACGATGCAAGTGAAACTTTTTAAGTGTTTTACATCGCCTAATTTTTTTTTTAAGATCGTATAACTGTAAATTTTCAGGAAACTGTTCCAAGGTAAAAATAATGGATAGTAAAAAAGCTAAATTTAAAAATCAAAAAAACCCGACTGCTTAATTATACTTCAAATAAAAACTGAAAAGAAAAAAACAAGTCCAGTAGTCTATAATTCTGTTAATAAGGAATAAAGCTACTTTAACAGTCGGGACCCATTATTGAAAAGTATTATGTACTCTTGAATATCTAATAGGTCCCGACTGTTCGTAAAGCTCGAATGAAGAGTACTTCCACCTATCAAGCGTGCTGCTACCAACCTAGTAGGTATTGGAAATAGTGCAATCATAGCAATTATTTTCCAAATATTTTTTCTTGTATAAAAAAATACGAAATAACGTATCACTGTTAAGTACAAATGCTAAGTAACTTTTACAAATATAATCAAATAAACCTATTACTTACTTTATTTTTAAATCTTTTTCATCAATTAAATACTATTATCCTAACTATCTATACTAATATTATAAAGAGGCAAGATTTGTATATTTGTAATAAATAATCTGTCAAACTAATGAACCGGTTTCAAATATTAATTCGTCATAAGGTAGCTATATTATTTATTATTACATTTTTCTTTATTTAAATACATTTTGTCCGAGTGACATAGGCTATATTTTATCCTGATAAAATTAATTCCTCTCGTACAATGCCCAGGTAAATCACTAGTAAGTATAATATAATATTATACACGCGAAAGTGAATTTGTTTGTTGCGCTTCCGTGCCCTAACAGCTAAATCGATTATAATGAATTCCCCTATAGAAGTAGATGGGAACTTGGTTCTTAGCTACAACATCGCAATACTTATAGGCGTAGGGTGATGAAAGGGGTAATTTACCTATAAAAATCTATATTATTTACTTTGAATTTTGCAGAGTTATCGTTTATAATTACAAAAATAATATTATCGCGAGCTGATTAATAAATACAGGGATTCCAATAAGTTTGTACTAGCGAAAAATGGGTTATTTGTCATTATATGGAGTAAACCTTTTTTGTAACATTAAGTTATATCGTTATGTTTTTATTTATTTTAAGCATTTAACTGCTAGATGTTTAAATCTAAAGAAAAGTTTACTAGAAAAAAAATCCACGCGGGCCAGGCAGGGTCGTGGTAGCATAATGGTCAGTGCATTCGCCCGGATTGCGAACGGTGCGGTTTCGAGTCCCGTCCGAAAAGAAAAGATATACAAACGTAAGATTGAAATTAAAAGCGCAAGTGGTTAATATACAACTTTAAGCGTTTGTTGTAGATCATAAACAATCATACAAAATGAAATATGGTGTTAGGAACCTAAACATGATTTTCGATTATCTAGACAGTGATACCCCACTCGACATAATATTTTGTCAACTTATTTTTTTTACTTCGTCACAATATGGCGCCTCATTTAGCCCATATTGAATTTTGATTACTATCATATCTTTAGTAGCAGTCCCATGATTGAGACGAATCGATTGATGTATAAATCATCAAAGTCGGTCCAGGCGTTTGGTCTCTAGTGTGCCACAAAGGAACAAACATACATTATATAGACTGTTAAACACTATACCCTGTTTACGCTGTTCAGCTGGGAACCGAACCCGTGCGGCCCGCGTGGCAGGCGAGCAATCTACCACTGAACTACAGATGTTTGTTAATAGGGTTTCTCTTATTGAAATGAAATGAAATATGTTTTATTGGAATAAAGACAGTGAATACAATAAACGTGCACGATAATAATTGTATTAGTTATAAAAACTGTGTCGCAACTATTAAAGCCCACCTCTGTGAATTCATTGAGGTTCCGTAACATACAAAAAACAAAAAAAAAATGTAAGTAAATTAAAATTTAATTTAACATACTTAAATTAACATTATTTTTAATGTTAGTATTGGTATGTATATATGCGTGTGTGTGCAGCTTAATGGAATAAGCCTGAGGTTATCTATTGTTATCTACTCAGAAAGTCTTCTATCTGTTCATATGAAAGTATATAAAGCCAATTGTCAACCAAAGATTTACATTCTCTCGAAGAAAGACTGTAAATGTCAAGTACTCTATTTACCTTGTTATACAATTTTGGACTTAGGAATCTATACTGTCGACTCACCACATCAAGGCTGCAGGTCTCTAGCTTCCATACTCTATCAGATCGACGTACTTGTTTTGTCAGATTGGGGTCATACACCAGGCAAGCATGTTTACACAGCACAGTATTTAACACAAAAGAGTGTCTAGCCCTTAGTAAGTTACAAATAGCGTACAAAGTATTTGCCGGAAAATAAAGGGGCTTACGGGACATAACTTTTAGTACAGCTCATTGAGCTCTTTCCAATCGAAGAAAGAAACTCTTACAAACATGGCCCCAAACTGTAATGCAGTAGATAGAGTGAAGGCAAAATAGACGACCTTTATTAGTTACTTGCGGCCGCCCGCACCCGGTGCGGTATACGACTGATGTCCCCGTACACAGAGCGAATGAGTTCTTCTAAGCTGGATACAACTCTACCAAGAGACTCTGGACGCACCACTTGTCCACCTCTCTCCTCTGGTAGAGTGCCATCGCCAAGATTTAGAAGGACATTGGAGAATTCTTGCCGCCGAGCTGGACTCTCATATTAATGGTCAAGCGTGTACGATCTCGTTTCCACAACGAAGATCGTTTCAACGAAGCATTCACCTCGTCAGCCCTCGATCCCTGCGTCACCACGGTAAGCGTTTGTCGGAAATCGCTACTGAACAGAACTGTGACACCACCTATCAAATGTTTGTTCCTGCGGATGTCATGCAGGGTTCTGTCCACGGCCGCAACTACCTTCCTATTGGCCATCGTATACTCATCCCATACGATCAGAGAGCAATCCTTGAGCACGTGTCCCTTATCACTGCTACGTGACACACCACAAACAGGCATTTCGGCGCTCTCTAAATTGGAAAATTATAAACTAAATTGGAAATGGGAATTTTCAACATGGCATGTGCTGTCTTGCCACCCGGAAGCGCTGTGGCAGCGATTCCCGACGACGCTACAGCAATGGTAATTTTGACTTGCCTCCTTACCACTGACTGAATAACTGTTCCACCAGGAGCCTCCAAGAAAAACATTTTACCCTGGTTTTGGCCAACGCTTTCAATGACGGTGTCATAAAATTGTTTTTGCTCTGAAGAGAACAAAGCGACATGTTCATTTCGTATGGTGGTAATTTCGGCCGAATCCTTAATTGTAAAATTGTATATTATGTTTATCGGCCTAAGTTACTTATAGTGTGCAGCTAGCTTATAGCATGGTTAACATAATAATAACAAAATTGAAATAACGTCTCATACGTTAGTTTACATGTTGTTACAGAATGCGTTGAAGAAATATAGGTTCACTGCTCGTTCCCCGTAGGTGATAGCGTAATTATATGTAGCCTATATGTTGAACCGACTTCTTAATAATATTCGTACTAAATTTGAAGTAAATCTATGCAGTACTTTTTGAGTTTATCCCGGACATAGATACAGACAAACAGAAAAAAAATCTAAAAACTTTATTTTTGGCTTCGGTATCGATTGCAAATCACAGCCCAAGTATTCTTTTAAAAAAATATTCAATGTGCAGTTTTGCATTTTCTACCATTTAAATAAATTTGAAGTAAATCCATGCACTACTTTTTGAGTTTATCCCGGACATATATACAGACAAACAGACAAAAAATCTAAAAACTATATTTTTGGCTTCGGTATCGTTTGTTGATAACACCCCTTTTAAAAAAATATTCAATGTACAGTTTTGACTTTCCTACCATTTTATTATATGTATAGATACTAAAATCAGCGGAAGTTCGTAAATTTCTGAACACAAAAATTAGTTTTTTAACCCTTGTGACGAGGGAATCGACTTGATTGTTCCAAAACAAAGTGTTATCTATTATCACGCCAAGGTATTTTATTACTTATTTGTTATGTGTTCTAGTAATATTAGGACAGTCACAGACATAGCGCATTTTCCTGTTACACCTGTGTGCAATCAATTCAAAGAAATAATCCGCCTGGAATGCATCTCTGGTAGCACTATGAATATATTTAGTTTTCTGGGTATTAAACGTAAGCGAATTTGAATTTAGCCACTTCAGAATGTATGTTCAGAGCTTTCGCAAATAAATGTGCTTCCATCTAGCTTGTACCGTGAGCTTTAATATCAGTATCGTCCGCATATGTTTTTTTTTATTTATTAAGGTAAACAAACAATGACCCAATACAATATATATATATAGTAATTTGGAGTTGCTTAACGACATCATACATAGTTCGTTAATGTACACCGGGTAGGCCCGAGGACATAACCCTGTGGAACGCCGAAAGTGACTGATACCTCTTTACTAATAAAGTTGTCAATCTTAACAACTTGGAAATGTTCGCTTAGTTAGCTGATAAAAATATCAAGTGCTATATCAGTTAGCGTTTTCCAAAGCATTTCCGTTAGGCGAATGGCCCCCTGGGCTACTGTCATATAGTGACAGTTTGCTCAGGGAGACACTTTCCAAAATTCTAAATTGCTCATTTTCTGTTAACGCTTGGAAGCCCCCCTGACCCCTACTCTTTCTAACTTATTTAGCCAGATTGGCACAGAAACGGTGTCAAATGCTTTTGAAATGTCGAGAAAGCTGGCTACAGTTTTTAATTTTTTATTTAAATTTATTATATAATTTTATTATAACA